CCCCAGCACCACATGCCAGCCAGCCCTGCCCCCTGGTGGGCTGAGCTGGCCACACACACACACACACACACACACACACACACACACAAATAAAACAAAAAAAAGAAAATGTACCTTGGGACCAGGGAGATGGCTCAGTGGAATAAGCGCTTGCCTGGCAAGCACAGGGGAGATGACCCCAAGCCATGGTGGTACAGGAAGAGTGCTCTGGGCCAAGGCCATACTTGAGTCAGTGGTTAATTGGGGGGGGGGGGGGGGAGATGGCTCAGTGGAATAAACGCTTCCCTAGCAAGCGCAAGGACCTGAGTTAATCCCTGGTTCTGCCAAAAAAAAAAAGAGAGAGAGAGCAGGTGGGAAAGCCAAGGAGAGGTCCAGGGTCTGCAGGGCAGTGACAGGGACTAGACTTTGTACCGAGCACCTGGGCAGCTATGGGAGGGACACTGTGGAGCACTCCAGGCCAGGCTGGGCAGGAGGAGAATCTGTTCTCTGCCCAAGGCCAAATAGAAAAGGGAGGTTGGGACTCGTTGTCCTTTGTGTATCACAGACAGCGGAGGTCCTTGCTGGTTCCCAGTCTTTTAGGCTTTTGTTTGAGGGGGGTGCTAGGGATTGAACTTAAGACCTTGTGCTTGCCAGGCTGGTGCTTATGTCATGGAGCTACAGCCCCAGCTCTGGCTTTGTTTTTGTTTTTTATCATAAATAAAATGCTAGCCAGGTGTTGTGGTGCACAGCTGTAATCCTGACACTGCGGAGGCTGAGGCAGGAGGATCACTGAGAGGTCAGGGCTATCCTGGGTTACATAAGGAGACCCTGTCTCAAAATAAGTTAATTAGGGGCTGGGGAGATAGGTTGGTGGTCTAAGTGCCTGCCTGGCAAGCACAAGGACCTGGGTTCGATCTCTAGCACCACATGCCATGTACCAAATAAATAAAGATTAAAAAAAAAAAAAGACACATTCCATCTTAAAAAAAAAAAGTTAATTAAATGATACTAAAGCTCAAAATGGTGGTGTTTGTCTGTAATTCTCAGGAAGGTGAGACAGGAGGACTGCTTGAGCCCAGAAGTTCAGCCTGGGTGACATTAAGAGACTTGGTCTCAAAAAATAAGGCTGGGGAGGTAGCTCAGTGGAATAAGTGCTTGCTTGGCAAGCATAAGGTCCTGAGTTCAATCCTCGGTACTGTCAAAAATAATATAATCCCAGAGCTTGGGAGGCTGAAAACAGGAGGATCCATATGAGTCCAATCTGTGTAGTGAGACCCAGTAGACCCTGTACTAAAGACATAAAAAATAAGAAAAAAAAAAGCAAATAAATAAATAAAATGAAAATGCTAGTTATGTTGTCTTGCAGATGGTCTTACTGAGGTCAAGGAAGCTGTCTGTACTGCTTTCTCTAAGTTTGTTTGTTGGTTGGTTTATCACAACTGTCATGTCTCAGGTTCTTTCTGTTCTTACTCCTCGTCTCTGTCCCATCCTATTTTTTTTCTCTCCCCCTTCTCTGCCTTGTTTTCCCTCACCCAAGGGGTGTGGCCAGAGGAAGCTGAGTTTAGGAGGTGGCACAGTGTCCTGGTTCCGGCCAAGGCCACCTCAGTAAACACAGGACATCCTGCGGGGCTGGGGAAGGAGGTGGAAGCACCCTCGGCCCACCCTCTCCAGACCTAGCCTGGGCCAACAGCAGCTTCTCAGAGGTCCTACCCACTGCCCACCCCAGGTAGCACAGCCCAGAGGGACTGAGAGGCCCCCTCCTGCGCCCAGATGACCAACAGTTCTGAGGTGTTCTTTCCACAAGTCCCTTGTGCCTACTGTGTCCCTCCCGGCTTCAACCTCAATCCCCAACTGGACACTTCCCCTGGCGATCACCCCAGCGCTGGCTACACTGTCCACTGTCCCCTGGCTCAAGCCCAGCCTCCTCCCAGGCCCTCCTTCACCCTGGCTCATAGACTCTGTGGTGCTGTCCTTGCACCCCAGCGGCTGTCTTCCACCCAGGTCTTCCAGGAGTCCTAGGGGAGGGCAGTCTCCTGACACCCACTATCCCTGGCCACTTTTGTTCCTCCCTCTTTTCCTTGCTCAACCCTGCCCAGAGGCCTCTTCAATGTCCCTTCCCTACTCTTCCCTTCCCAAGTCTCCACCCCAGGGCTCCTGGGCTTACTCAGCCCCCTACCCAGTAGCTCCCTAGCATCTTTGCTGTAAAGACCCCATCTGGGGGCCTTGTGTGCCCTGGCCCCTAGGGGCCCCTCCAGAGCCATTACCTTACTGCATTCCCCAAAACCCAGTAGCTTAGAGACTGAAAACATCATAGGGCCTTTGTACATGCCGGTTTTCTTTCCCCTTCCTAGTACAGCAGCCCTTCAAAGTGAACACTGCTGTGCTTCCAGTTTACAGATAAGGACTCGAAGGTCCAGAAGTTAAGCACCTTGCCTAGAGTCACAGAGCTCCAGAATGGAATACCTAGGCAGTCCTGCTTTAAGCACAATCTCTTCTCATTCAAGCATAACAGCTCAGAGCTTCAACATCTCTGAGCATCACTGTATTTCTACAGCTTACTTTTCCTTAGGCCTGCCTCTCCCCGGCAAGGTACAGTTACACAGGTTGTGGCTTCACACGAGTCCATAATGAAGAGACCCCAGGTGCCATGCATTTGCTCACAGCTACGAAACTTTCCCTGCAGGCGGAGGTCAAGCACCTTGAGGGAGGGGCGTGTGTTTTGCACAAAAATACCATGCATGTGGGTTATACCGGCTCTGGCTCACAATCTGCTTGTGCCTGAGAATCTCATCTCCCTAAAGTCCAACTCCCAAGGCTGTGCAGACTCCGGCGTTGGCTCCACCCCAGGAGGCCACGCCCCTCAGCCTGAAGATTCCGGCCCACACCATTCCGAGCTGATCCACCAGCTCTGGTTCTGCTGCTCCGAAGGCTGACAGAGCCTTTGTGTCTTCCAGCTGTGACACCCCCGGCCAGCTCCCCTCCACCAGCAGCATTCACAGGACACCTCCCAACCACCACTACCACCAACATACTCTTCTCTTCCTTGACCCCCTACCTGGGAGAGCTGTGACCTGCTGCCCTCAGCTACCTTACCTCCCTGTCTCTTTATTTATTTATTTAGGTGGTATTGGGGAATGAATCTAGAGTTTTTGTGCTATGCTACTAGCCTAGCCCCCTTTCTTTACCCCAGACAATAAGTTTCCAAATTGCTAAATTATTCAATTGCTACTGGGCTCAAATTTGCCATCTTCCTGTCTCAGCCTCTCAGAGTGCTGGAACTACAGGCATGTGCTACCCTCAAAGCCCGGCCCCCTCTTTATTTTCCTTCCCTCATTCAGCAAAAATGTGAGTACATTTTTGTGCCTGACTCTAGGTGAAAGGTTACATCTGACCAGGTTTCATTAATAGTAGATGTCCGCATCTGCGGGCTTCACAGAATACTCCAGGGGGCCCTGGAGACATCAGAAACATGCCCCAAACACTCGGTAACAGATGACCGCTGACCCCTGCCCACCGGACTGATGCCAAGCAGGGGCATCAGGGCCACAGACTGGGCAGCAGGGGGCGCTGCTGTGCTCCGCCCAGGCTCCAAAGGTCTGGGTCCCGGACTCAGAAGCCCGGGTCCCGAAGTCTAGAACTGGGAGGGGCCAGGAGTTGGCATCCGGCGCCTGGAAGGATGCCTGGGCACACCGGCTCCCCGCGGTCTTTTCCACCCGCCGCCCGGGCGCCCTCAGCCACTTCCAGAAATGGGCACCACTTCCTCCGCGGCTCCAGGAAACTCGCTCTGCCCACCCCTTCCCCGCCCGGGCGCCGCGCCGGGCTCCCCGCCCCCCAGTGCCGGCCCGCAGCCCGCAGCTCCCGGGCTTCCTGCCCCGAGAGGCTGCTCTGCCCCGGCAGAGGCCCGTCCAGCCCTCCGCTCCTCCCAGCCCCCACCCGCCACCTCCGCAGGGACACCGCCCCCCACGCCCGGCACCCCGGGCTCTGCCCTGCCCCCACAGCCGCCAGGAAGGACGCAGCCCGGTCCCGTGCCAGGCCTGTGAGTGTCGCGCCCCGCCCAGCGGTCCAGGAATGCGGCTGGACGGCGGGGGCGGACGCAGACTCCCGGCTCCGTCCGGGTCTAGCACACGGACCGTCGGGCAGGTGGCCCCGGCTTGCCTGGACCTGGGTTTCTTCTAGAGGGAAAGCCAGCTGCCTAGCCCCTGATGGCCCTCTCAGCTCCACCATACCTGGAGGCTTTATTTTGGAGTTGGTCTCTAAGCAGCCCTATTCTTTGCCCCAAGACAGAGGTGAGGCCAAGAGAGTGGATTTTATTTTTAAAAAAACTGGCCGGTGTCTCCCATCCTTTGACCATTTTCCAAGAGTGCTGACTCGTTACTCGCCGCAGAAATGGTCTGGCTTCCAGCTCGGGTTTTCATTTCTGGGGCATTCTGGAAGCTCCCTCCCCCTCTCTGCAGGATACCCAGGGAAGAACTGGATTCATGTTTAAAAAGTGATCCAGGGCCTTCCTTCACGTGCACACAGGTACAGTAAGGAAACCTGCCCGTGTGTTCTGGGGTGGGTGTCTGCTTCTCAGGCCAGTGAGGCATTAAGGGCCCATGAGCTGAGCCCCTCCTCTAAGTCTGTGTTCTCAACTGTAAAGTGAGGCCCAAGATCATTATCCCCATCTTTGTGGGGTTGTTATAGGATTAACTAAACATGGCAAGTGTTTAGAAGAGTGCCTGCTACAGTCCTGGCTAAGTGTTAGACCTTATAGTTCACCTTTGCTGTAGCTCAGAGACAAAGAAGCACACAGGCAGATTTTCCAGAGCTGGTTTTAATCTCAAAAAACAGGTTGAGGTCTCTTCCCAAATCAGGAAAGAACAGCCCACACTGTGACCCAGAGAATTCAGTCCAGCCTGGGGCCTGGCCCAGTCGCATTCCAGCCACCAGGCCCTGTTATTCCTTCACTAGGGGCCAACCGCACTCCTCCATGGCCCCTCCAGAGGACAGACATGAAGTTGCCCAGGACTGGATTTTGTCTCTCCCAAGTGGCTAAGCCCCTTTCTCCGGGTGAGGGTAGCCAGCTGCATCTTTCCAAGGAGGGTTGATCCAGCCACCAGGCCCAGTTCAGACACCAGACAACCATCCCACCCCTTGGGCTCAGCGCCCTGGCCCCGGCGGCCGCTCTAGCGCCTGTGTACCCACCAGCACATCCATGAGGTAGTCCAGCTCAGCCTCATCCAACTCGGGAGCCCCCTCCTTGCCCGGCCCATCCTCAGGGCCAGGCTTGAGGCCCTCAGAGGCTGGCACCCAAAGTTCACTGTCATACATGGAAGTATCAATGTCCTCAAACAGGCCCTCTAGTCCATCATCCAGCAGACAGCCAGTGGCTGGGCTAAGCAGGTCCAAGGCACCCAGGCTGGGTGGGGTCGCCCCAACTGGGCGGCCTGGTGGGCCCTCATCTGCCAGGGGTTGGGGGGCCTGGCTCAAGCCTTCAATATGGCTGAGGTCCTCTAGGAGGCTGGCTATGGAGGTGGAGAGTGTGGCATCAGAGCTGGCCAGTAGGTTATCAGCCACGCTGGGGACGATGGGTGGGCTGGGCACAGGTGGCAGGGTCACTGTGGGTGCCATGGAGGCCTGGATGCGCCGCAGTGTGTTTACTACCAGCACCAGATGCCGAAGGTCTGGCTCACTCTGCCGAAGGCTGTGGTGGAGCTTGAGCACAGAGAGGTCAAAGAGGGAGCTGGAGGCCACAGTAGGGGGTGTCTGGGTCACTGCTGGGTGGCCTGGATCCAGCCACCAGGCGTCGACCTCCAGGTCTTCCTTCTTCTCCTCCTCCTCCTCCTCCTCCTCCCTCTTTCGCTTGAGACCCTTACTCAGCATCATCTGCAGAAAGGGAGGAGTCATACATTTATGGAGAGTAAACACTCCGTTCACACCCAGCCCTTGGGCCCTGACAAACTGCTGTCCCTATGAGGTTGGGCAAGTCATTTTACCTTTCTGAGCCTAAATTTTCTACAATATGGATAATGTTTTCTTTATCAATTATTTTAAGCGTTAAATGAAAAAGCACAATAATACCTGGTACTGGTAATTACTCTTATTAATAAGTACTCCTCATTTATTCTTTGGTTGTTTGATGCAGGGTCTCACTATGTACTTCAAGCTGGCCTCAAACTTATGGGGATCCTTCTGCTTCAGCCTCCACTGAGTGCTGGGATTACAGATGCAAGTTTATGCCTACCACACCAGGGTATAAGTATTTTCTTTAATTATTTTTTTAATGTATTTAATACAGGATCTACAGGGTCTCACTACGTAGATGGGACTCCTAGTGATTCTGTTTTCAGCCTCCCAAGCACTAGGATTACAGGCATGCCACCATACCCAGTCTCAATCACCTTCTCAGTGTGCCCGGGGGCAGGGCGGGCACAGCATGCTGGGGATCCAACCCCGGCCACTGCGCTCTGCCTACACAGGAGCTTTAATCCACTGAGCTATCTGGCCAGCCCTAAGTATTCTTGATAGTATAATAAAACATTATATAATACACCTGGTATGGTGGTGTACACCTGTAATCCCAGCACTGGGCTATATAGTGAATTCAAGGCCAGGATGGACTTCATAGTGAGACCCTGTCTCAAAAGAAATTATTTCTTCAGTGAACCATGCAGAATGGCCAACATTCAGTGTTTTCCCTTTTAATTTACAAAAGCAGGTGTTTCACATAGATCATGCTTACTGAGTGTCTGCTATACAGCAATAAACATTAGAAATGTGCATAGTGATGGAAGGACACCAAAAGACTCTGGAGATGAGGGAAGGCTTCTCAAAGATGACACTGAACTGTGAGCCCTGGTGTGTGAGATGTCAGCCATTAAGAACCAGACGAAACCGGGAGGAAAGCACTCCAGGAAGATGGGGGAGGGGCAAAGAAAGACCTAGAGCTCACAGCTGAGGCAGGGGGATCACCAGAGTTTGAGGTCAGCCTAGGCTACCCAGAGTCCAAAGATAGCCTGAACTACATACATAGTATGAGCCTGCCTCAAAAAGAACAGGGGGGAAAGAGGCCTATATTCCCAGCAGCCTATAATTCCAGCACTCGGAAGGCTGAGGCAGGAGGGTTCTTGCAAGTTCAAGGTCAGTATAGGCTACAAAGTGAGCTCAAGGCCAACCTGAACTGCATAGCAAGAGAGCCTGTCTCAAACATACACACTCACAAAACGACTTAAAGCCGTGGTAAGACTGAATTAAAAGACACAGAGAGGCTTGTGCCCGGAGTTACAAACTGGGAGTACCAGTGGGGGTGGGGCGCACGCAGAAGGCTGCAGAGACAGAGAGGTAGGGAGTTTGGGCTTTCAGAGCGGCCTGGAAGCACAGGGGGGTCTGTCTGAGCAGCGAGGAGAGTGTCGCGCTCATTAGGTTTCCAGCTGAGGAAGCCTGGCGGCAGGGCAAGGGGCACGGTGGAGGGGGAGTGTAGGCTGAGACCTGGGACGCGCGACTCTGACGGCCAGAGAAGAGGCTGGCGTTGGACATGTAAGGAAGCTAATTAAGAACTTATGCGAGAGACGGAGTGGTCAATGCTTGCGGGTAAATTCTGATGGACACTGGTGGGTTAGCCTTGAGAGAAGTTTGAGGATCCACTCTTCTCGGGGTGGGGAGGGCCCGGGGATTTGGCGCCCCCCGAAGCTACTTTAAGGGGGTCGGGAGGGCCACAGAACCAGTCCCCGGGACACTGTCTAACAAAACGTACAAGCAATCCGCATACTCAAAAGTGGGTCTTTGCCCTTAGCGAAGACCCGGAGTCCGGAACCGCAGGAATTCAGCCCCCACCCCGACTCCGCCCCCCGCGCCCCAGCGCCCCCTAGCGGCACCCAGGCCGGCTTTCACCCGAAGATCCAGACCCTCTGACCCCTGGGTCTTCTACACTGCCCCGCGCCCGGCCTATGCCTCTTTGCTCCCGTTTGGAGGAGCGCAATCCTAGACCACAGCGAGTCGTTCTGCGCTCCTGCCTTCGCTCGCTTCCGGAAGGCAGCGGCGGCGGCGGCGGCGGGGGCGGGTGAGTCACGCAGCCGGAGCCAGAGAGCAGGCGCCTCCGCCCCCTTCTCAGGCTGCGGCGTGATTCACCCAGCCCGTCCGGGGCGGGAGGCAAGCAGAGGCCCGGAGCGTCTCGCTACCATGTAGCCCAGGCGCTCCTCCGCCTGAACCAGAAACAGCACCACCGGGACCCAGCCGCCGGTACCCTTTTTCTCCCCAGGCCGCTTCATTTACATACCTAGTTCACTCGCTGCCAATCAGAACAAAGAAGTAGCCACCGTCAGCCAATCAGGAGGAAGCAGAGGTAGCATCGCTCGCTCACTCTCCTTCAGCAACCTACACTTGAGTCGGGAGACGCAGCTCTGACTAGGGCGCACGACTTCAGACTCTTCACTACCCTTAGCCACGCCCACTCGCGTGGCGGCCCCGCCCTCAACCCCAGGGATTGGCCTTGGGCGGTGATGGGCGGAGTCTGGACAGGGCCGGTTAAAGGGAGGGGAGGGTGGCTTCCTGGCACGCGTGTCCCGGCAGCAGCTAAGTGGGGAAAGATTTATGGCTATTTGCCGTGTTGGACGGTATTGGGTAGGAACTTTTTGGATTTTCAAAGTGCAGTTCCCCATACCTACCAAACAGCAATGGATCTTCTTAAGTACTTAGCCTCAACAGAGCTATACTCTAGGCCAGATAAGCCTGGGTTCAAACACTCTTACCACTCACTGGATATGTGACCTTGGAAAAACGGCGGTGCTCTCTGAGCCATACAAATTCTGTTCCGAGGGACCCTTTTTCTTTTTCTCCTGGAGAGTTAGGAAACTCAGTAAGATCGCATCTGTAAGAACACGGTACCCGACAGCTAGAGGATTGGACTCACTTGTGGTTAAACATGGGGATGAGGTGGGTGTGTTCTGGGTCACTTCCTGGGCTCCGTTCTCTTAAGCAGCTGTGACCATGGGGAAGGGTTTTAATCCTTTGAAAGAAGGTGTGGTGGTATATGACTGTAATCCTACCTACTCTCAAGGGTGGGGTTGGAGAATGGAAAGTTCAAAAGTAGCCTGGGCAAATTAGTGAGACCTGTGGCAAAATTTAACAAGGACAGCTGGGTGTGGTGGTGCAGGCCTATAATCCCAGGATTTGGATTTGGGAGGCTGCGACCAGAGGATCATCCTGAGTTCGAGGCCATCTTGGGCTACATAAGTCACTTCAAAGTCAGCCTGCACTACACAGTGATACTGTGTCTCAAACAACAGCAGCAACAAAATATAACCAGGTCGCCAGGCATGGTAAGGGTTGGTAGGAATGGTGTCTGCAATTCTATTGGAAGGCTGAGGGAAGAGGATCAACTAGAGTTCAAGGCCACCCTGACCTATACAGCAAGAAACCTACCACCACCACCA